AGGAAGGCACTAGTGTTATTAAAAGGGGATCTGCTTGCAACTCGCAGGTTGATCCCAACTCGACCCAATAGGGTGTAAGCCAGACCAGACCGGGGTTGGGACAAAGTCATTTGGGCCTTGACCAGACCGGGGTCGGGACCAAGTCATCTAGCCCCGGACCAAACCGGGATCGGGACCAGGTCGTTTGCGCCCGAACCAGACCCGTTGGGTCCAAAACCCGGACCCGGTGAATCAACCCAACCCCACTGAAAGGGGACCCACCAGTGACTCACAAGGTTTGGCCCGGGCCAGACCCCAACCAGTCCTGTGCCATAAATGAAATGAGAATAGTAAAAGTGTGTGAACCAGCCCAAAACTAGTCCAGCCACGGGAACTATCTTAAGTTCCCCTTCTCCAAATTTATGGGCCGATTCATCCGTATCTTGAGAACCCTTTTGAGGATAATTTTAGCTTTTTTGGCACCCTTTTATTTATTTCTATTAGGTAATCTCAGGCCAATGGATAAGATTAACAATTAATTTAGGGCAATGAATACTGTTGGCTACTAATTTGGGCAAGAAATCCGATTTCTTTCATTATAACTTCAAAACTCTCTCATGCCTTTTCCCATTTGAGCTTAATCTCTCTCTCTCCACAGCTGCTTCCTTTCATGATGTATAGCTTTGCTATGAGCCCCATCTCCATCTACAGGTTTGTTTCTTCCATTTTCAAATTTGTTACTATTTTTATAGTTTCTTTTATTATTTGTTAATGTGAATTATTATGTAAAGATACCAAAAGTTTCAAATTAACTTAACATGACCAACATGGAAAGAAACTTCTCTCTCCATGTGAGTTAACCTCTCTCTCTCTTTGTCTATCCCATAGTTAGCAAGTCGAAGAAGATCAATATATCGGCTCACCATAAAATCGGAAATAAATTGTTTTTATTTTAAAAAGTCGATTGAAAAAATTGGGTAAAAATCCGGATCGGCAAAAATACTTTATGTAAAAATATCGCAAATATATTGGACTAGGCTCAAAACATTAGAGTGAAAAAAAAGGGCATGTTTAAAATAAAATTAAGTAGAAATTAAAATAAAATTTAAGTTGAAATAAAAAATAAAATAATAAGTTGCCGATAAATATACGATATGAATTTTCTCATTAAATTCTTTAACAAACATCACACATACTTAGTACGTAACGCAAAAAAAAAAAAAAAGCAATGTGAGATAAGTAGAATTGAGTTGGGTATATTTATTTCTCTCTCTGTATGGTGACCGTCCCTTTATAACCATAGTTAAGCAATGAGAAGATGTACACCTTTTTTGGTTAGATGAGCAACAAACGCAGTAGACCAAGAAAAAACACATAACAAGAAGACAAGCATTATGCAAAGTGAGAGAAGCAAACACAAAATCTTCCATAAACAAACGCAGAATGAGAGAGAGAGCATGCATAGGCATAGAAAAACAAGATGGATATAAAATCACAGAGAAGATGAAGAACATGGTGGACATAAACCCTAATCCAAGATTTCCAGTCATGAATTAGATTCGGGAATTGAGCCCTAATCAAGGTTTTTCCTTTATTTTTTTTTATTTTTTTTATTTTTTTTTTTTAAGCTTTTGTTTTAGGGATTTACTAATCCAAGATTTCCAGCCATGAAATTGGTTTGGGGATTGAGCTCTAATCTGATTTTTTTTTTTGTTAAGCTTTTGATTTAGGGATTTAAGGTGTTGTACAAATTGTGATAATCTAAGTCTTTGAGCTCTAATTTGGATGGAGTTTTTGGTGGAATTTTACCAAGTCAAAATTTGGGAAATAAACCCTAAGATAATAAACCCTAACAATATACTTAGGGATTAAATTTTTTTTTTTAGGGAAGTTTTTTTTTTTTTTTTTGGGAAATAATCTACTTTTTTAGAAAGCATGGAAATAACAATTACATAAAACAGAAAAAAAGTTTTCATCTTTAAGAAGAAAAAAAAATACAGGTTAAAAGGCAAAGTTTTTTTTGGACCGATTTTTTTACAAAGATCAATAAGGCACGTTTTAAACGTTTATGTGAAAACAACGCGTACTATTGCCGATCTTTTAAAAAAGTCGCAGTTTTATACATTTTTAAAAAAAACTCCGTATTTTTAAAAAAGCCGCCTTTTAACGCCGACTTCCTAACTATGGCCTAGCCTCAATATCTCCCTCCCTCTCATCATCATCTATAGTTTTGTTATGAACCATTTCTTATTCCTTTTCCCCCCCTGATTTCATCTATTATCAATTTTATAATTTTTCTTTTTAAGCTTAGTATGAGAGTGGAACTCGTATATCACATTGTAGCTTTGCCTACGCTCAATATTCTGCCAAGTATCAATTTTCTTGGGAAAGGTTGGATTGGAATCATTGTTCGAAAAATTGAACCAGCCTCGACAACAGGTCAATAGCCACTCAGAGTAACCGATAAACTGGCTGGTTAAACCAGTAGGTCCAAAACGTGTTAACAAATAAACAAATACAAAACAATTCTAAAAATATATGAAAATTATATTTAAAGCACGATTAAACAAAATACATCCAAATGAAGTTGAAAATTAGTGAAAAAATATATTTTAAGAAATCGATTTGTGCCTAGAAGTAATTTTGTAGTATTTTAAAAAAGATGAAAAATTATAAAAATAAGTATTCATGGCCAAAATACATTACAATCTTTGCCAAAATGATAAAAAAACATTAAAAAACATACTACAAATAAATCCCTTATTTTGTAAGATTTTATATAAATTGTTTAAATTTTTTTTTTTTAAATACCCAACCAGGCCACCAGAACTGGATCAGCTAATACCCGGTTTTGGTTTGACTGGCGAGCTTCGAGTTGGTCGAGCCGAGTTTGCGAACACTGATTGGAATATTATAGGGAAATTGCACTTTTGGTCCTTGGGGCACAATCCTCCCTAAAAGTATTTTTAGGACCCCAAATTTTTCGAACATGACCTACTTATCCTAGTCACGTCGAGCATGACCTACTTAACATAGTCGGGAGCCTGATAAGAAGAATTGGGTATCCAACGTAGATGTGCCTCATAAAAGAAATTACGCTATAGCAGTGAATAATTGCTTCTCGATGTTTTTCCTTTTGTTTTTTGAAAACTTACTTATTCTGTGTTTTCGAAGAATTTTAGATCACGAAAATCCTTCCAAGTCTTTTTCCCTTGGCTTAAGTGAAAGTGGAATAATTAAAAAAAAAAAAGGAAAAAGTTCATATAAAGTGTCAATCTTGTACCGTTTGAAGTAAGGTGCACATAATACGTACATCCAAAAAGGTTATTTGGAAATAAAAAATATTCCAATTAATCATCTTGACCTCGAGATGTATGGATATATAAAAATAAAATAAAAATTCAAGTCCTAAAAATATCTAAAACTATCAATCTAAACCTTGTAAGCAAGACTAGAATATCTACAGCTAGGTCAAAGGCTAATAAGCGGCCCTATCTTTCGATCAACACAAAAGCACAAAAAAAGAAAGAGAAAAGGGTAAGTTAGTGGGGATTTTGGCCCCTACCTTTTGGTGAAAATGGAGTCTGTGTTGTGCGTGGAAGCTTTAAATCCGATCAGTTGATTAAAGCATAAAGCACATACCACAAGAATACAAAGATTTATATGGTTCACTCTAAAATGACTACATCCATAGGCACGACAAATGAAAATCCACTATACAAATGAAAGTTACATCAAATATTTTGGAACATAGAGTTGCATCTTTAACCCTAGACAAAACCAATTCAAGCAAACCCTTTTAAACCACTCTCCCTTCATTCTCTTTACTTATGACAACCATCATTGACAACATAGAGACATGAAAGCAATAAGAAATTGATTTTTTCTCTAACTGAAAGGAGAAACCACCCAAAATCTCTATAAAAACTAAAAGAGGAAACCACAAAAAATCTACATGAGAACCGCTTCTCCACAAGAAACCAGCCTCTCGATCTTAAGGAGTCTACAAGAGGCATCATCACAAAGTTTCTCTACATATAAAGCTATATTATCTCTAAGAGGAAACCTACGTAGAAAGCTATATTCTCTCTAGGAGAAACCTTGCATCTTATTCATAGGAGACCCTGTCCCCCTCTCTATCTAGAAGAACCACCATTCCGATATGATGATCCAAATAGGGCACATCAATTCTATGCACTTTCATCCCATATACGTAAGGTTAGGATTCCACACTAAATAGAAAACTTACTATAGATGTTACATATATATAAAAAATCAAGTGATATATGCAAGAGTCTTAATTTTTTTTGAATTTTCTATTTCTTTTAGGAAACTTATCAATCTCAATCTCACATAATATGAGATTTTCTAATGTGGGTGATTTTGGATAGCACTAAATTCAACCGTGTGAGACATCATCATAGGGCTCGGTGATACTACCGCCAAGACCTATTCTCAAAAGCACAACATCCTCAAATCATTCACTTCTCTTTATGGGTAAATGAGATAGGTTATAACGTTGACGTGCGATTGTGAGAATCATCATAAGCCTATATCACTTTCTTGTCTCAATTCATATAAAAAAGAAACAGGTTTCTCTAATTATTTACAAAACATATTTTAGAATGACTAATGATAAGAGATTTCAATGGTGTTCTTTATCCAGGTGATTGATTCTTCTTCTTCTTCTCTATCCCAAACTTTGAGAAGTAGATTAGGGTTTAAATATTTTTGCAGAAGAGGAAAATGGAAATGAGAGCAAGAGAGGCAAAGCATTGGACATAAACTTTGTTGGTGGTGTGGTGCTTAGGGTTAGGGCATGGAAGTCCGGCGTAACATAGGGGGCTGAGTTTGGTCAGCATGTGAGACCCATTTATCTTTTTTTTAACAATTACAATCAATCCTTGTCCAGAGCAATAATATATTCCACTAAAAGACTGAATTATGGTGGTGGAGCCACCCTACCCACCATATATATCTATATACACATAACATAGTCTCATACATATTACTATCCTTTGCCCCCCTCCCTTCTGTTTGTGTGTGTGTGAGAGAGAGAGAGATAGCACCTCCTTTTTTAGTGTTATGGCTACAGCTCTCCCTAGTGAAGACATGGCTGTTCCCCAAAAGAAGCTTGAGAGATTGCTCAGCATGCAAGGAGGAAAAGGAGAAACAAGTTATGCAAGAAACTCACAAGCTCAGGCAAGTAATCATACATGTTTGTGTTCGTACAGGTTGGTGATTCATTTTTTTATTTTTTTTATTTTTTTTATGTTTTTCTAATATGATACTCGGTCGCAGTTGCTGGTGAAATAAATGATTAAATGATTTTTACTTTCGTTTTTTTACCAGCAAATTACTTAATCTTAGAATATTTTAGTTTTCCTCCTCGTGCTATTGTGTTGCAAATTTCAGTCTTCTTAAAGATTTATTTGCTCCCTTTCTTCAAATGCTTCATCATTTTCTGTAAAATTATAATTATTAGAGCTAGTATATAATTTCTTATGGTGAGCAATACCATAGTTCTTTCTCTCTTCATTTAAGTCCAAAGGTAAACTCATCAAAGAAAAGGAAGACTCGTAACACTAATAAAATTGTAATTATGATTCTATTACTATCATTATTCTTCTGTTGCTGCTATTATTGTAAAAGACATTATTGTTGTCGTTGCTATTATTGTTGTTGTTATGTTAAAACCCTGATAAAATAGGATAGTCAACAACATTATTATGCTGGAGCCATGGTGGATGTCTTTTCCTTTTGATTAATTGGTTGGTGAAAGGTGGTTTATCTTATGTTTAATGTCTTAAACACATAAATATAAGATAATCACAATATTATTATGCTGGGCGCAATGGTGGATGTTTAGTTCTTTTTAGTAATTGGTTGATAGAGGTGGTTTAAGCAAAGTTAACGGTGATGGCGGCTGTGGTGGTGGTGGTGGTGGTGATTTTTACAGGGCCGTCATGCAAGGTCGATGCTGCACATACTGGAGGAAGCACTTGATAAGATGACATTGCCTTCAGAGGAGGAGCCAGTGCTCACCATCGCTGACCTCGGGTGCTCTTGCGGGGACAACACTGTCTTCACTGTGGGAGCAATCGTGAAACATATGGTCGGGAGGTATGAAGGGGCAGGGCGCGAGGCTCCGGAGTTTCAGGCTTTCTTTGCAGACTTACCATCAAATGACTTTAACACACTCTTCCAGTTGCTCCCGCCGCCCCCATCGAGCCTCGAGCAGTGCTTGGCTGCTGGTGGGTCTCGCTCATACTTTGCCACTGCTGTGCCTGGGTCGTTTTACGGCCGGCTTTTTCCGGCGAGATCGGCTCATGTCTTCCACTCTGCCTTCTCCTTGCACTGGCTCTCCCAAGTAAACCTCTCTCCGTCTGCATTTTCATCTAAAACTTTTACCTCTTCCTCAACTTATCGATTCATTTCCCTTGAACAACTCTCTTCATTTGCTTGAAAAACTTTTAATGTCTTTCTCATTGTACTTTCATCAATGGTTCTCTCTTGTTCAAATTATTCTTCTATATTCTTTTTTTTTTATATGAAATCACTCTTTTGTATTCATTAGCTCTCTCTCTCTCTAAAATTATTCTTCATATTCTTTTTTTTTTATATGAAATTATTCTTTTATATTCATCGGACAACTTCAATGACGTTTTTCCTAGTAGTATCAGTGACATCTCTTTTGTTGGTTTTCAATTTTAAACACCAAAAATATCAGAATTTTCTTTTGCAACAGTATTTATTTTCATCCTAAAATACTGTTATATACTATGACAAAATATCTCATTTGTTTCTACAATATTAATATATACATTTTGAGGAAATATTCCAATTTTTCTAAAGGATTATTATATCTATTCCAATTTTTTATAAAGTATTATTATATCTATATATTATGAGGAAATATTTCATTTGTTTCTAATATATTAATATGCATGGTACCCGAGCATTTATATGGAGAGTATCCAAGGTAACTTCTTTGCAACGATCAAAGCATAATTTCCGGAGCCATACTTGGGTCCTCTTAAAGCTCATTACTCCCCATTTTTTATTATTATTTCTATAATCTTAGGTTTCACTACTGTTTTTAGTTTTGCTTTCCATTCACGCAGATCAAGCATGCAAAGAAACGTGGCATCTTCTCAATAAATTATTCTTGCATTAAATTTGCTTTTGAATAGGATATAAACGAGAGAATGTGCTACTTGTTTATTTTTTAAGTTATTTTATTAATTCATGGGTCACTTACTGCCAATGCCGTTTGAATTTGGATACATGTTGAGAATGAGTCGAGAATAATGTTTCAGAAAAATATATTGTGTTTGTTAAGTTAAAAGTAGTGCATGATAATGTTGTCACCTCACTATCAGTCTTTCAATCAACATTAGCCAACTAGATTCTGTATAAACACATAATTATATATATTATATGTGTGCATAGACATAAGAAAAAAAAATTGCTTTTTTATTAATTATATTTTATTAAATACATTAAACTATATTTTGGCTTTAACAAGGCTACGTAAGTGGTCCATGCACCCAAACAACCTTTTAGCTTTTCACCTTTTTTTTTTTTTTGGTAACTTGCCACACCAAAATAATCTTCCTTACAAATAAAGTAAAAGCAAAAATATAAGTGTGATCTTTCAAGCCCTTAATTTTGGTAACTAATCCATTTGACAGAACTTAAAGACTTGCTTTTGTGTTTTGTTGAATAAAACTTTGAAGATTTCCTGACCTTTTGTTGTGTATCTTTGATTTCCCTTATTACCGACTTTTTGTCTCTGTCTCTCTACTTTTGACTGGACTTAAAGGAGGCCTTTGAAAAAAATAACCTTTGAACTTTGGAAAATGACAGTCGGGGGCTGTGATGTACACACTTTGATGGCCTGTTTGGGTTATAGGAAAGGCAAAAATATAAAGTTTTTTGACACGGAAAAAGTTTAGATTAAAGCAATCCTCTACCTTTCTCATGACTCTCATGACCGGTAATGATGGAGCTCAATCTCAGGAAATTATGGATACAAAGAAAAGGATTTCAAGCTTTATGGATACAAAAAAAAGGATTTCAAGCTTTAAAAATTAGATATGCTGTAAAATATTGTTGAGAGCATTTATAAGTGTTTACATAATTGTCAAATCTGTATCATTTTTAGAGTTTCAAATTTCATAATGAAAAAATTAAATTTTCTGATCATCATGAGGATTTCTAGCATTGGAGCTATATTTTCGGGTGAGGATTGAGTTTGGGGTTACTTCTAGAGTGATTTACGTATGGACCCTAAAATTTTAGGTAAAATACAAAATACTATGCTTATAGATGAAAATTACAAAGAAAGTCAGTCAACATGCTTTTTTTTTTTATTTTTTTCAAAATTGCCCTTCGGTCAACTCAAATTTTATTATTATTTTAATTACTTCTATAGTAGGATAGTGTCCCAAATTTTAAGGCACTGTCCTACTAATGAAAACATAAAAATAATAATCAAAATTCGTGTTGACCAACTTTTTTTGTAATTTATTTATATAAGTGGAGAATTTCGTATTTTACCTAAAATTTTACGGTCCGTATATAAATTACTCTTACTTTTTAATGGAAATACTAGGCCTTTTGCTAACCGCAGCAACCCTTTGATATATGTTCCTAAACTCAAAGCTATTAAAAAATAAATAAAATAAAAAATCATAACACTCTATCTATGAGATGGAAATGAAAAAAAAAACATACCGTCTGATCAATTCGACACTAAACAATAGCCCCAAAATATTCACCTATTGAACATAGAAGCCAACACAAGACGAAAAAAAAAAGTTCAAAAACCTTTGCATCCCAAACATTTAAAGCAACTCCTTGAAAAAAATGGGGTTTTTTCTCCTCATCTTTCTCAGTACCAGTATTCTAAGGAATAACACTAAACCGATAGAAGAATAAGAAAAGGAATTACAGTCGATAGTTTTATAGAATAAGATGACACTTATTAAGGCTACACGCAGGTGCCGGAAAGTGTGATGGATAAAAGATCGACGGCTTGGAACGAGGGGAGGATATTTGTGCATGGATCCTCAGAGAGCACTGCAATGGCCTATAAGCGTCAGTTTCAACAAGACTTGGCAGTGTTCTTGAGGTCGAGATCAAGGGAGATCAAAGTGGCGGGTTGCATGTTCTTAGTATGCCTGGGTAGAACTTCACCTAATCCTAGTGATCAAGGAGGGGCCGCCTACCTCTTTGGAAACCATTTTGAAGATGCTTGGAACGATCTTGTGGAGGAGGTATAGAATTACTGTCAATATTTCTTTCTTAATTAGATCTATTGTTTATCATAATCTCTCTCTCTCTCCCTCTCTCTCTCTCTTATAGGATTCGCCACCTTGGCGAGGTCAAGTATCTCCGAGTTGGGTGTCCAACTCAGGGATTTTAGAAAAAATTTAGAAAAATTATAAAAATTCAAAAAAATAAAAAATTTAACAGTAATATATATTTTCTTTTTTTTTCTTTTTTATATTTTCTGTTATTTTGATAAAGATTGGACAGTGTTTTGGCCTTGAATACTTATTTTTACAATTTATTTTCTTTTTGGATAATTTCTAAAGTAAACCTAGTCTCAAATTAATTTTTTCAAAATCTTTTTTTTTTTCTACTCTTTTAACCTCATTTCGATGTGTTGTATTTAATTTTACTCTAAAGATAACTTTTATTTTTTATTTTTATATTTTTATATTTTTTAATGTTTTAAACACTTTTGACCTTGGTCAGAATTCGGTCCACTCGGGCCGAGCTAGATGGCCTTGTGTATTGTTCATTCCATGACTCTAGAGAGAGAGATAATCCCTTTTTTGTTTTTTCCCAGAAGGGAACCTTTTAGGGTTCTAGTATCCATAGTCAAATCTATTGAATCAGTAAAAGGAAAGTAGGAAGAATATTTTAAAAATATGTTTCTATATAATATTATTGAGCTAGTCCAATCAATCAAAAACTAACTAAACCAACTGGCCAAAACCTCTTAAGCATTCATTCTATTAGTTTTCTATTAAATCTATTTTTTACTTTGAATATAGACTTCAAAGGTGCTGGTGCAAACAATTAGTCCACTCCACTCGTGATAATAGCATGGATAGAAGACAAATCCGTTGGAATGCTACCACCACGAACCCAGCCTTTTTCCTGGATGGATGGAGGTTAAAGTATAGATTTATGCAATAAGGATTAAGTACTATCGTGATTTGTGGAGCCTTTTTCCAATTATTTAATTAAACATAGTAGTTAGGGCATCATTAGTTGACTTTTAATGATTCTAAAAACATAGTTAAAATATATTAGCACTATGCTTTGACGGTTTGTCCGTTAAGTTTTTCTTTAGGTTTTTTTATTTGTGTTGAGGATAACACGGCCGTTATATAGGATGCGGTTTGTTAGTTTTAAGAAAAGGGGCTGCATGTGTTTGCTTTTCATGGGCCAATCATGATGAAAAAAACAGGAAAGAGGCTGGGTATTACTCTCATACCTAATTACCACGTTGTTGTTTTTAATCTTGCTGATACCACTCATAGATATTTTCAAATAAAAGCTAACTCCTTAATGTATTTGCAAAAACCGGTAGAAGCCTGACTTTCTCACTGAATTACCCAAATAAAATTATGACGAAAAAGTTGTACTATATTGTGGGACTCTGCCTCTGCCTAAGCTGAGTAATTCAATTGAGTTCAAGTACTCGCGTGAGCAATATATAGGCTCAATTTTTTTAAAATAGATATAAAAATTAAAAAATGTAGGAATTAGCAAAAATCTAAAGAAGTAATGAAGAAAATTAAAAATATAGAAACATTAAAATTTATATAGAAGATGGACTATGGTAAAATTTGATTTATATCTTAAAACAATTTAAATAATCCTAGAAATAAAAAAATCGAGCATAAAAAGAAATTCACAAAGCATCGTAAGAAATACTAAACATCGTATAGAAATATATATTTGCATCATTAATTGGTGATTAGTAAAAAGATAATATATTTAGAAACCTTTTAATAAACAATCATGGGCGAAGTACTATAATAAGTCTAATACTTGCAACAATTGTAACATATCCCAGTTAATTGGAGGGAAAAAAAAAACTTAAAGAAAATAGTGAATTTTGAAGAAGGGAAATCTGCACAAATTTCGTGTACTAAAAGTTCGCTTTGTACCTCCCATTCTACACATTTCAAAACAGGACATAAAATTCTTGATCTTGCTTCTTTTTTTTTTTTTTCATGAAAGGATACTGAGATAAAAGATATTGATTAACTTCCTTTGTAGGGCCTAATGGACGCCAATAAAAGAGACAGCTTTAACATTCCGGTTTATGCACCGAGCTTAGAGGATTTTCGGGAGGTGGTGGAGGCAGAGGGCTCATTTGCAGTGAAGAGGCTCGAGATCTTCAGGGGAGGGACCCCTCTTGTGGTGGGCCATCCTGGCGACCCGGTCGAGGTGGGCCGTGCCCTTGTGAACACATGCCGTAGTGTGTGTGGTGTACTCGTGGATGCTCACCTAGGCGAGTCTCTGAGTAACGAGGTTTTCAAGAGGCTCGAGCGGCGAGCCACGAGCCACGCCAAGCAGCTGGTGGAGCAACTAGAGCTCTTCCATGTTGTGGCTTCCCTCTACCTTAGATGAGCATTCTCTCTCCCCTTCAATGAGTCTTGTCTGGTGATCACTTTACTTATTATGGGTGTTATTTACCTTATCTCCATGGACAACTGTGCTAACACCTTTGTGTAATATCTCACCTTTTAGCACTAATACTTGGACTTTTTTCCCACCTTTATAAAGCATCTGATACACAATCTAAAGTTCTTAATCTAAGAAAGAAAAAGGTGGTCTTGATTCTTTTTAGCTTTGTGGACGTTTGTGGATTTGGAAGAAAGGTGGTCCTTCCCCAGGACTGCACTTTTTGGAGATGAACACTATTTTTGTATTGCATGACCAGAAAAATTGCCAATATAGCCTTTTTGCCTAAAGCTAACCGACAGTTTCTTCAAAGACTTCAAATGGTAGGCCTTCCTTTCATCATATCCATACATTATGACTAGACTCCAATATGCTTCCTTATTTTCAACACCCCTGTGCTGCGGGTGGCAATGGGTCGGGTTGAATCTGGCCAGACTCGGATAAAAAAAAATGATATGGGCACGGACTCGGATCTAGACCCGGACCCAACCCGTTGGGTCCAAGTTTTGGACCTATACCCAGACCTTGATCGGATCTACCCCTCGGATCCTAGGTTGGGTCTGGGTCCATTGCCACACCTACCTATGCACTTGTGTGTATGTGCGAATGTGATAGAGTGCCCATGTCATGTGTACTTCTATGCGATTAAAGCAAACATATTTTGAATTTGTGTGTTTATCGGCTCCCTATGTATCTAAACTAGGTTTTGAATTATAACCTAGAGCAAATTATATATGGACCATATTGAGGGAGGTCAATTATCATTTGGTATACAATATACCTAATATTACGAGCAACACCCTGCTCCCCATAGCTTTTTTTTTTTTCAAAAGTTACCCCGTGTCTGGCGATGAAAACACCGGACATAGGGGCTATTCTTTTCTAGTTCTTTTACTAAAACACCAGACATAGGGGCTATTCTTTTCTAGTTCTTTTATTAATCGTTCGGTGTTCCAAATACGGAACAGTTATCTGCTATCCTCAAAACCAATGAGCCATCTTCGATAGTTGTCAATTGGGTTTTACTTTTTTGGTGATCTTTATCTCTCTAATTTCTTTTTGAGGATTTGATGTGTTGTTTGGGTGGATAACTTCTTCTGAAGAACATAGGTATCTATAAATTTGTTGAGAAAATATAGGATTTTACAAATCTCGTTCTACACAACCATTTTAGTATTTTTCCATACAATCAATTATGAATTCTCGTTTCCTCTTGTCTCCTTCTCTATCTAACCTCTTCAGAACCTTAAATACCAAAAAAAAAAAAAAAACTCTTCAGAAACCCCTCCCGCATTGAATCCTCTCCCCAAAGTGAGCACCTATTACCAATGCTCACTCTAAAGACCACTTCCTCACACCAGATTCTCTCTCTTCAAACCTATCAAACAGTCTTTGAAACACAAGACTTAGACCCCACATTTCTCTTTGCCCTTCAAGAATCAGAAGCATCAATTGAAGAAGAAGAAAAAGAAAAAGAAGACTTGGATGCCATCTATAAGTTATTCAAGTCAAGATTAGCTACTCCAGATGCCCAAGAAAAAGTTTGCCTTCTCTTTAAGAAGAATCAGAAGTTATCACGGCATATTGTGATGGTTAGTACCCTAGAAAAACCAGTTCAAGAAAGGTCAGCTTTTTTATATTCAACCGACTCAAGTATCACAAAAGAAGCAAATGAGAAAGCAAAAGGAGGAAAATTTAGTAAAACAAATTGTGGGTATTGCCAAGGGTCTTCCTGAAAATGCAGTTCTGAGTGATTTTATACGTCTGAGAGAGTAAGCGAGAGAAGAACCCCCTTGTCCTTCATTGCCAGGGACCACTTAGGGAAAAAAAAGCCCCGGCGGTGGTGCTCGTAATATTGGACATATGGTAGTAAACGCCTCTCGGTCGTATATAATTTGCTCTATGACATGGCCATTTGGATAGCTTCTAGATGTAATCCAGGTTATTCAATCTCTTGTTTGAGCCATCTATTTGTATAACATCGGTTTGGAAATTTAATCTATACTCATTTTTTGGGAGAAAGGTTAAGCCAAGAAAAGAAAAAACCACAAAAAGCACTCTTTATAAGTAAAAAAAGTCCAACCTTCGACCGTAGAAGTTTTGAAGCGTGACAAAAGAATACAAAGCACTCACAAAAAACAACATATATCAGCAAAAAAATATTGTTGGAATTAATTAGTAGAAAAAAAAACACAACAAGCACACTTTATGAGAAAAAAAAAAAACAAAAGAAAAGAAAAGAAAATTTTCAAAATTTCAAAAAAAGGGAATTAAAGTAAAAAATAATAAAAATCAACAAAAAAAAAAAAAAAAGAAGTTATGTGAATGTAGTTACCTTAAGAAATGACCATTTGAAAAAAAAATGTCCAATTAAATAAAAATCTAATTAATGTGTTCATAAAGAAATTATTAAACTTAATAAATTTTTTTTTACAAATAATCTTTATAAACAAAAAATATGTAATTTAAAAATATGATACCAAACTCCGAGGAAAAAACGAAAACAATGATCAAGAGAGAAAGAAAAAAACGAAATATTGATGAGGAAGTTATATAAAACATAAAGAAGAATAAACCATGTGAAAAAACAACCTAAATTTCATCAAAAGTTTTTATTTAAAAAAGATGAAAGTCATTTAAGATAAAAGGAGTAATGGGATGTTTCGTTGCAAACGAGAATGTATATACAAAAGTAAAAGAAAATTTTGAAAATAATAATAATGAGAATATATTTATAGAAATGAAATAAACAATTGAAGCAATAGGGAAAAATGTACTTATAATAGGTTCAACTGAGAGGAAAATCCACATTATAAAATTTGCGGAGTTCTTGCTTCTCTAGGCACAGAGATGGTGAACGACAAGGTGCTGATGTCATTGAAGTTAGGGTCGTTTCAACTCTTTGACCCAACCATTTTCATATGGTTCTTGTTCACAATGGGAGTGAACAAGACTATAAGAGAATTGTAACCCTTTGGAGCACTATGAAATTAGAAGTGAGGAGCACTAAATCGAGACGGTTGAGGGCTACCTCTAATCTGGGTGAAAAATAAGAGTACCTCAGGACTGTGATTACTCAGGGCTTGGGTATTATTTTCCCTATTAACAAAGTGTGAGGATCTTTGTACTCAAAATTTTAGAGTATTTGCCCTATGTGAGAATGTTTGTCTATTGAGAGGATATCAGCAAATCTGTAACCTCAAACCTTTTTGAGGCATATGCTTATGACAATCATAAAATTGAAATCCACCCTTACTCAAGATGATCCCCTAAGGAGGGATACGTATATGTCTCCAAGAGTGCATGCCCTTGATGGTGCACCTATAATCCACTATAATCTTGAGCCCTGACCTTTATTAAGTTGACTTTGATGAGCCAAGCATGAACTCTTACCATATTCTAAGATCATGGGACTTGTGTCAATTTGATAAAGTGATTTAGGGATCCAAGACTTGCTGAGTAGAATGCCCAAGTACTTAGTTTCATTTCCTAAAAGATCTTAATTTCTTTCTAAATATTTTCTTGAGATCCTAAATAGGGGGGAAAATTACTATTTTAAAATTTATTTGGAGGTAATTCCACTCAAGTAAGGGGACACATGCAGACAAAATGGCTGAGGGCCTTCACGTGGGCCCCCCTCATGACACCCACATTACCAACTAATGGTGGCGTGTGATTGATACCGTCTATTGGGTGGCATGCTTTTAAGGTCATGTTTGTTGGAGGCACATATTTGTGATAAGTCTATTTAATGAGTAACGACATGTTTAAGGAATTTGGCTCATGTAGTTGCCAACTTGATCAAGATCTTTTCTTCATTTTAAAGACTTACGTCCAATGAGAATTAATCTTCCTAACTATATGTCAATGTGGTACTATTCTTCTAGACACGATCTTGGTTGGAAAGAGAGAGGAATTAATCTTTTGTAGAGAAAGGAGGGGCATACCCCTCTCTAGGTTTTATTTTCCACACATTTTATTGTAATTGAGTTTAAATTTTAAAATAAAAGTTCGGTTAAAGTAGATAATGGTGTGAAATTATATTCACACATAAAATAGCTATTATATGAAATGTATCGCCAGCATCTAAGCTCTCTCTTACTCATAGATATTAATGACTAAATTAAATTATAGGGAAGCTTAACGTATTTTCCCTTGAAATTGATGTGTATGCTCACAAAAAAACAAAACAGACAAGAAAAAAAGGAGAACATTTCTCCCCATTTTTTGCTTACTTAGAGAAACAGATAGAGAGAGAAGCAGACTTTTCGTGGAGGTTGTGGTGTTCATGCATGGTGACTCTAGAGCCCTTCTCCTTCATTGAAGTCTAGGAGCACTCTTATGAAACTCAAGTGATGCCACTTGGAATCGGCCGAGTAACTCGACCTCGCCTTACGGGCGAGGCAAGGTTCCACCGAGTATAGTGTAGACTAAGTTTTTATAGTTTATATAAATTACTATGTCTATTTTAAATCAAAAGCTAGACATTGCTCATGTACATTTAACCTTGGTTCAAATCCCTGCAACCCTCATTTTTTATTGACGAGACGTATTAAAAAAGTAAAATACAAACGAGTTAAAAAAGCAAAGCCCCGCCACCCTCATATTTTTTTGATGTGTTAATATATAAGAGCTTAAAAAAATGAATGGGGTTTCATGGGTATCGAACCAAAATACCTCGTGAATATGCGCACTAAGGCAGCTGGTCTATCTACAACACCATTTAACCATTAATTGTCAATGCTGGCGGATTGTATTATATATCTATTCTACCATTTTTTTAGGTTTTTTAAATAGGACTGGATTTGGGCAAGTGACTCGGACTCATCGGAAAAGCTCGCCTCGACCAATGTCGGAGTACTTTAACCGAGTCGTGTTTCAAAACACTGCCTAAGAATTAAATGGTGCCTTCATCTACCTTCTTCATTACCTTTTGCTACTGTAAACAACTACCAACAGTGAGGTATAAGGTCTTTCACATCCATTTACATAGATCTTCCTTGCTCATTTAAGCTCTAGATTGGTTATCTTGATGCCTAGTTCATGCCTCCATATTTTGGTATAGTATCGTTTTTCATATGTTCTCTTTGCCAAGGAAATTCAGTTCTTA